ATTATTATTATTATTATTATTATTATTATTATTATTAGTATTATTAACTCCCAAGATCAGGCTCTGATTGTTTGAAGAGTGGGTAACATTCTCTACTGGATAATTCTCTATCTGATGGATAACAGTACATTTTGGTAATGCTCGACTGTTGGATAGCAATGTATCTATTGGATAGCATTATCTGCTCTTTGAACAACAGGGGCCTAGTTATAAATATTCTCCCCTCAAATTGCTACACATTTCCTTAGAAGATAGTTAATATGGGAATTGGTGTTAGATCAAGAAAGCGATTTCATCCTGATAGGCTTGGGTGTTCTCATTACCTGTTTGCTAGATAATGTATGGATATCATAGGGAGATTAAGTTACATGTGAATCACTTCTGGGAGTTTAGGGGGTTAAGTCATCTTTACTTCATTTAGTCATGAAGTTGTTATAAAAACTGGGAAACACACTGACCAGATGGATAGATATATTGCAGGAGAAAGTTTGAAGGCTTCAAAAAAGTTGATTATTTTGTTTTTTCGACAGCCAAAACCAGTTCCCACTGGACCAAAGAGGCCAAGAGGAAGACCTAGAAAATGGGTAGGATAAATCTACTGAAAAGACCCATAAAGATTTCGATGATATTTCTATTTATCTCCTTGCAATCTGATTGGCTATTGACAATGCAATTTATTTATGAATTGCTCTATTTTTCGCTCTAAATTGCATCCTTTACCCAGAGAATAAGAGAGCACCACTACAACAAAATAACCAATTATATTTCATGGCTTATTTAAGGTAAATTGTAAAACTGAAGGAAAATAAAAAACAAAGAAGCCAATGTAAAAGTGTTTCTGTTCCATGTTCTTTTACCAACAGGCTCAGTACTGGATTTTATTACACAACTCAGACAGTCAGAGGGCCAATAACTAAAATCAACCAATCAAAATGCTCTATTGCCAGTCAATATTCTCTCATTATTGGACCGGGCACTGTCCCGAATGGTCCCGAATGATACTGCACTTGTGTCCCTTTGAACTTCAGTCGAATAATAAATCTCTTATTAACCAAGCTTGCTGAGGACCGTACTGGAAGAGTATGGGCCCTCGGTCTTTTTTGTATGGACCTCGCTGCGCTCATTACATACTGTCAACACCTTAGGCTGATATTCTCCCAGTACGGCCCTCGCGCTTGTTTAATAAGATATATAAATTAAATATTTTCCCTGACTACAATACTGTGCTTGAGCCATAAAATCTTGTGAGTTTCAAAGTGGTTGTAATTCATTGGTAATTGAACTTTGTGTTGTGCATTTTTGGTTTAGAAGCGAGGGATGACAAATGGGAACTTTAAGTGGTGGCTGCCTTGCTAATTAATCAATGGTGTCTCCTGAAGATGGGGTTTATTTAATACAGCTTAAACTCTACATCATTTAGCCAGTAGATCTCATGAGAACAAAATTATTCTATATAACTTCTAATCTGTCATTTTACAGCCTCTTCCTGATGCATCTCAACCAAAGAGAAGTAGAGGAAGACCAAGGAAGAATGTGAGTGATGCTTACTTAAAAATCAAGGGGAATAAAAGGGAAGACGTACACCACTTTCATAAATGGCTGCCAGATTAATATTTTTTTGGTTAAATTTAAATTAGCCTTTCTTGCCTCGTTCTCCAGTACAAAATTCAAAAGAATAAAATATCTCAAGCGAGGCCAGAAAGGCCAATTCAATTTAAACAAAAGAATATTTATCTGGCAGCCATTTATGAAAGTGGTCAGTGGAGAGTACATGTCCACTTTCATACTCCGCTCTCCAGTGAGTGCCCACTGCATGCAGCTCTCCATCACAAAACACCACTGATAAATGGTCAATAACAGTTCACAATTTTAAAACTTTGTCCCCCATAACCCACCCTCTCCTCCCCTATGCTCAAGGGCTCCTTGTATTTGTTCCCCATCACTAATTAACGATTATTCCACAAGCGCACGTTGGATATGAGATGATAGATAGCCAACGAGGCGCGTAGCGCCAAGTTGGCTATAATCATCTCATATCCAACAAGTGCGAGTGGAATAATTGTTTTATTAAAAATGCCCCCAACAAATTATTATTTTGTAAGAAGAAACCAGCTCCCTTTTAATTTTCAGCTGACGCATATGCTTACCATATTTGTAGATTATGGTATATTGGCTCATATACCATAATGGCTAAGCCAATAAAAAGTCTTGAATTGCATTATCCAATGATCCAGTTTTTAATAATAACAAATATCCTAAATTCAGCTACTTATTTTTCAAGGATATGATACTGTGAACAATTAAAGAGAGGAAAATCTACTGAAAGTGACAAGTTTCAGGCCATTTAGATGGAAAATAAGAAATTTAGTTTCCTTCAAGAAAACAGAAATTTTATTCAAGTTTTTTGGAAGCATAATTGTTCAAGCTGACATTAATTTTGTAGCAATTACTTTCCCCAAAATTTTAAGCATAAATACATTCAAAACAAATTTTTTTATCTCTCCATCACAAGTTAAGTTCCAACGACCACACTTAACTCTGCACTTAAAAATAGGAACATTAGAAAAAGTTGGTAACTTTAGTTAATGTTTGCATGTAGTTGTATTTTTACAACAAGTTGAGCCTTCTCTTCCAGGCAAATCCAACTTTAGAACTTCCAACTATGGTTAACACCACTGCAGATCAAGCATTGACGAATGACACAGCAGCATCTGTGACAGCACCAATTGCAACTGACATCGTTCCACCAGATGATCTATTTGACAGTGATGACATTGATTGATTGACTGTGTTGTCAAATCATTGATTGATGCTTGTATGTACCAAAGGTTGGCAAGCATAACAAAGGTGTGATAAAAATTGGACAATGTATTTTGAATCAAGTGGTTTGAAGAAAGGAAGTTACCAAAAGTAGATAAACTTGGCTAGAGTGGTACATTAGATGTCATTTTGACCCAAGTAAATATAAAACATTCATAACTCTATTACAAAATGTTTCCATTACCTGAAACAAATATATCATACTAATTATCTTGCGTCCCTGCAACTTATGCACTACCGGTAATGATGCGATGCAATTAATATTTGTATAAATTAAAAGTTTTAGTATATAATAGTTTGCTGCAAAGCACTGGAAATATTCCATACGCTCACTTGTTAAGCTAATGGCTAAAATATAAAAAGATTATAGTTGACATCAATGTGGTGTCCAGCAAGATATCTACCAAGATTATTTGTGAACCTGTATGTTTTTGATATTATATTAATTAAGCGTCGAATCAATTGACATTTGAGCCAAGATGCTTGCATTGCGAATCTGCCAGATTTGATGCTGTTAGGATTAAAATATTTGTCCCATATATTAATAGCCATACCATGTGTACATATGTTAACATTTTCAATTTATAATTATAATGATTACCATCATCCATGCATTCTGACATAGAAGTCTAATTTTACTTTGGAGCAATGCTTGTATCTGAGCACCTGTGTACCCACCCTTCCCCCCTCCTGAACCCAACAAAAGTCAACTGATAACAAGTTGGGGTTAATGTTGGGTTAGGGGGGGAGGGGTATGTGCACTGTTGCTCAGATGCTGACAATGATGCTTTACTTTTAACACATTCACAGATTCAAATTGTTCAGTTTTAAAATTTATAGTTAGTACATTAAATGAAACTAGTCATTATCAATTTTATTTAATTATTGATCCTGATGAAGTGTAGCCATACCTGTACTTGTTGAACCAGTAAAACATAGTATAGACAGTCATGAAAATGACCACTGTCACGCAGCTACTTCTTTATTGGGTAACATGAAAGTTTTGCATCAATGGCATTGCGTCCATGTCAGTTTCTTCTAGGAGTTATGGAGAATACTCCAACCTTAAAGTTATCTATTTCACAGTTGGTTTCATTTATGTTTGCTTGTTTGTTTGTGTTTTAAATGTTGTACATCAAGTGACTATAGGTACTTGAATGTCTTGTTTATTTTTCTTTTGTTATTTTTTTCTTTATAACTTACTAGGTATCTTGTTTGTTAAGTACTTTTCATAAAAGTTAAGTAGGCCTTCTAATGGTCAGATGAGGTTAAACATTGGTGTTGATATATTGTATGTTGAATCATTTTCCCTTCATTGATTTTGCTGTACTTTTCAATAACAAATGAACTTAGAAGTTCAAAATCAAACTACAATGCTGTTCCTACAGATTAGAGTTAAAGTTAATTTGAACCTTCCCCTCTAAACTGGGTTTAAAAGAAAACAATACTTATATACAGGGTTCGTACGTGTCTTGAAAACCCTTGAATTTCAGGAGGCCAATTTCAAGGCCTTGAAAGTACTTGAATTTCGTTTTGGCCAGTCCTTGAAAGTCTTTGATTTTTTATTGAACAACATAAAAAAATATCTGCTTTTGTTTTGCACCATCAGTAAATCCAAAACATAGATGTTAACAGAAACATTTTTCTTGGTTTGGAGGTAAAATTGTCATTACAAAAAGTCCTTGAAATTTCTAAGTACTGGGTGACCTGGAAAGTCCTTGAATCTTTGGCCTGAAAAAGTGTACGAAACCTGTATATACCCATTCAAACCAGAGCTTAAACATGTTTTAAAGCTGTTTTGTTGAACATAGTTTAACTGTTTTTATTCATAGCTGCCTAACCCAATATCTTTTGTCTTCAAATGTAGCATGTTAAAAGGACAAGTGATTACTTGAACTCTATGAAAAATTCAGTTTTTCAGTTCTCTGTTTCTTTATTTTCATTCAGTTGAATCCAGTTTAACTAAAATGTTTGCTGGTGTGATTATAGAGTATTGTTACCTGGTAAACTTCCAGTAAAAAAAAA